CAACTAATCAAATTATTCTTTTATGGTGGTCCATGACTTTTCAACATCATTCTCAGTTGCCATATTAGAGAACCTATTGTTTATTTCCTCTGTGTACGCTTCATTTGTTTCATTGTTTTTGAGTTTTCTAATGTTTACTGATGCCTTCTGGTGTTTTCTTTTAGCTGTAGCGAGCCTCAGTTTGATATTTGCTACTAAGGGATTGTGGTCGGATCCTATGTCTGCTCCAGGTAATGCAGATACCTTAGTAATAGCATTCCTGTCCCTTCTATTAATTTTAATCGGTACAGGTAATTCCACTGCTAAGGTAAACTTACTACTCAAGAGGAGGGCATTTTGTTCAAAAATATTTTTACGGCATTTATAACTTAGGTAGGTAATGCAAAAAGAATGACCTGCGACCTAATGCCGTACAAAAAATATAGTGCAAAAATATTGATCCCAATAGCAGGGACAACCTTGGATTTTCTGAAAATGTTGACCCCATTTTTGGCAATTTGATACAGTGCGGCAATACATATAGTTTCGGATCGTTATTTAGATTACTTTTTTTCAGTGTCGTACATATCGACCGGTACAGGGGTGTAAAATTTAGGACGCACCCCTCTATTTTTATTTAAGCCAATATGAACCTCACTGATTTAAATTTAGTTGCATAAAATAATGCCATACATTTTTCGTGCAAAAACATTTTTGGACATGCCGTACATTTTTCACGGTGCATGTGGTTATATGAGGAAAATTAATTTCACTTTGATAAGTGGGATGTTCAAAAAATTCTGTACGACGATGATATATTTTGTTAATAATGACATCAATTATTAACAAAAATAAAAGCATTATAGAGCGTTTTTTAAAATTTTTACTACAAATAATTTCAACAATTTTTCTGTTTTATAAAAACGAACCATTATATTATATTGTTTTATATTATATATTTTTTATTCATATCATTTTAAATCAACAAAAACATTTTAGGACATGTCGTACATTTGTCACGGTAAGTACCGGGTGGTCCAATAAGCCGATCTCTCGGCTATATATCAGAAACTATTCATGTTATAACTTTAGGAAAAAAAATTCCTTAGTAAAAGTGGCCACGAGAAATCGCTGGAAATAACTTTCAAGATTCTGGATTAACCGCTAGGGGGCGTAACCTGCGACGAAAATTTTGAAAACCGTTTTTTGGGAAATATGTCCAATTATACCAAGCGTTAAATAAGTAAACTAGAAAGGGGCATAAATTCTGCACAAAGTTGTTCAAGTACTTTTTTTTATTTTTTCAAATAAAGGGTGGGGAGAGTGGGAAAGTATTTGTGGATAAATACCTATAACTTTGTTTGATCCAACTGATTTTAATGAAATTAGTGTCATTAGAAAGAGTGTGAATGAATTAATTCACATCTACTATAAAATACTTGCATTCAGTTTTCATAGTCGTAGGTAGAGGGGACTTTTAAAAAAAATTAAAATATGTTTTTCTTCAAAATTTTTAATGGAAACACCTATTTATTGTAAATTATAATGGAACTGGAATAAATTCGTAACAAAATGGAGCAAACCGCATGTTAATAGCTTTTGTTGAACTCGAGATATGAATAAAAACTCATAAACATAAGTAAGTATAGTATTATAAATTACATTAAAAAATAAGTCAGTAGGTATTTTCAAATTGTTTTATAGCAGAAGAATCTTAATGTTGATACCTATTTTGTAAAATAATTTTTTTCGAAACTAAGTAGGCTACGACAATGAATTTGACGGGGAGTTCATATTGTTTATTTATTGACAGCAGTCAAAACGTTGTTAAGAAGTGCTATATTATAGTTCGAATTAAAGATTGCACTTTTTATAATAGATATTAATATTGGTAATATTAGTAATTAATTATCAGTACAAATAATTCGTGATGAGTATATCAAATTGTATGATATGATTGGAGTTTATTTCGAATGTCACCAAAATGCCGCTATTGCCTCACGTATATATTTTGTAAGATATCGTGTCAGGAGACATTATGGCAAAGAAGTATTTGAAAGAAAGGCAAAAAGATTAAGAGAATCCTCATATGAGTAGTCCGAAATCTCTACTTCTTTGCCACAATATCTCCTGCCAGGATATCTTACAGAATATATATGTGAGGCAATAGCGCCATTTTGGTGATATTCGAAATAAACTCCAATCATATACAATTTGATATACTCATCACGAACTATTAGTACTGATAATTAATTACTAATATTACCAATATTAATATCCATTGAAAAAAAATGCAATTTTCAATTCGAATTATAATACATATAACACTTCTTAACAATATTTTGACTGCTGTCAATAAATAAACAATATGAACTCCCTGTCAAATTCATTGTGGTAGCCTACTTAGTTTCGAAAAAACAATTTTTAATCATATGAAATAACAATGGTCAAAATAGGTATCAATATTAAGAGTTTTCTACTATAAAAATTTTTGAAAGTACCTACTGACTCATTTTTTAATTTATTTTATAATACAGGGTGTGTCAATACTATACTTACTTATGTTTATGCGTTTTTGTTCATATCTCGAGTTTGATAAAAGCTATTAACATGCGGTTTGCACCATTTTGTTACGAATTTAATCCAGTTTTATTATAATTTACAATAAATAGGTGTTTCCATTAAAAATTTTGAAAAAAAAACAAATTTTAATTTTTTCTATTCGAAAGTACCCTCTACCTACGACAATTAAAACTAAATGCAATTATTTTATAGTAGATGTAAATTAATTCATCCATACTCTTTCTAATGACACTAATTTTGTTATGTTTGAATCGGTTGATCCAAACCAAAGTTATAGGTATTTATCCACAAATGCTTTCCCACTCTCCCCCACCCTTTATTTGAAAAAATAAAAAAAAAGTACTTGAACAATTTTGAGCAGAATTTATGCCCCTTTCTAGTTTACTTATTTAACACTTGGTATAATTGGACATATTTCCCAAAAAACTGGTTTTCAAAATTTTCTTCGCAGGTTACGCCCCCTAGCGGTTAATCCAGAATCTTGAAAGTTATTTCCAACGATTTCTCTTGGCCACTTTTACTAAGGAATTTTTTTTCCTAAAGTTATAACATGAATAGTTTCTGATATATAGCCGAGAGATCGGCTTATTGGACCACCGGGTACATGTGCTTATGAGAGGACAATTAATTTCACTTTGATAAGTGGGATGTTCAAAAAATTCTGTACGACGTTGATATATTTTGTTAATAATGACATCAATTATTAACAAAAATAAAATCAATATTATAGAGCGTTTTTTAAAATTTTTACTACAAATAATTTCAACAATTTTTCTGTGTTTTATAAAAACGAACATTTATATTATATTGTTTTATATTATATATTTTTTATTCATATCATTTTAAATCAACAAAAACATTTTTGGACATGTCGTACATTTGTCACGGTAAGTACATGTGCTTATGAGAGGACAATTAATTTCACTTTGATAAGTGGGATGTTCAAAAAATACTGTACGACGTTGATATATTTTGTTAATATTGACATCAATTATTAACAAAAATAAAGGCAATATTATAGAAGGTTTTTCAAAATTTTTACTACAAATAATTTCATCAATTTTTCTGTGTTTTATAAAAACGAACCATTAGACTTAGTTTTTCTTTTTCAGAACCAGAAAACTAGAACCATTTTCTTAACATTATTTCTAAGTTATTATTAATTTATTATCGACTCTTTCGGCCACCACAAAATTTATTATTATTAATCATCTAAGATAAATTTCTTGGTAATGAAAAAACAAAACAAACTTAATAGACTTTCTCAAAACTGCTCTTCAATTTAGGCACTTGGCAACATGAACAATAATAATTTTGATATGAGTTTTCCAGCCTCGAAAGTGCGTATTTTCGCTCTTTTTGAGATTTTGAATTGTTTACAACTGAAAAACTATCAACTTTAGAGAAACATTACAATAAACTTTTTTTTAGAATGACCCAAAAAACCTAAAAAAATGTTTTCTCAGAGCAAAAACCGGCGATTTGTTTAAAAAATTGTTTATTTAAACAATTTCTGTCCAAAAATTTTGCCAAATACCATTCTGATTTGTTGAAAAGGGGATATTTTTGAACAGAAATTCGTAAGAAACGGAATCAGAAACATATTTCCTACGGGAGCGGCCTTCCAACCTGGACTATAATACTTTTAAAGCCATTTAGAACCATTTTTTATTGTACGGCCTTTTGTTTTTGTTTATAATCGATGTCAATATTAACAAAATATATCAATGTCGTACAGAATTTTTTGATCGTAACATCCTACATATCAGAGTGAAATTAATTTTCCCCTCACACGCACATGTACCGTGAAAAATGTACGGCATGCCCAAAAATGTTTTTGCACGAAAAATGTACGACATTATTTTTATGCGACTAAATTTAAATCAGCGAGTTTCATATTGGCTTAAATCACCTCCCTTGTAATACTAAAAATAGAGGGGTGCGCCCTAGATTTCTAAACCCTGTACCAACCGATATGTATGACACTGCACAAAAGTAATATAAATAACGATCTGAAACTATGTGTATGAATGCCGTACTGAATCAAATTGCTGAAAATGGGGTCAAAATTTTCCGAAAATCAAAGATTGTCCCTGCTCCTGGGTACCAATATTTTTGTACGGCATTAAGTCGCAGGTCATTAGTTTTGTATAACCAACCTAGGTTATAAATGCCGTACAAATATTTCTGGCCAAAAAGACACCCCTTGAGTTGTAACTTTACCTTAACTGTGTACTCCTGTACCGATAAAAATTGACGACATAGTTTCTAAAATTGTCATTAAATCTTGTAGTATTTATTATATGTGATGCATGCTGGGTCAAATGACCCCTTTAAAATGTCCCATGGGCTTTTAGTCTGTTTCCCTTATTTTAATGATGTGTTAAAATTATTCTAAACAAAGCAACGAACTCTAGTTATTATTATAACAAACTTACCGTGGGAACACACTGATGACTAGGAGAGATAAAATCCAGTCCTCGTTGACCTTTTCCACTGAAGCAGTGCTTAATATTCTGCATGAATTTGCGCCGAATGGACTTGAGGGAATAAACGCATAGCGCAGAGAGTTCAGACGGTTTGTTTGCAATCACCGGCTCACTTTCACTAAACACGGCGAACAGAACATCATCTTGCGCAGTGATACCTAAATCTGAGGCCAGATCTGATCCTGCTCTCCCTACATATGCAGCTTGGACGAGATTGTACTTTCTCCCTCCTTGAGCTTCGCTGATGCAGTCCATAGGAATCTCCGTGTAAGAGTAATAGTTTTCGTCGTCGTGGCACACCCTTACTAACTTGCTGATGTATTGACTGGAAGTTGTGTGCTTCATTTGCGTTGTCAGGAAATAACTAAAGCCTTCCGAAGCAAACCCGTAAACGTACGTAATTGGATAACGTTCCCTAGCTAATGAATTAACGAACATCCTAGTGCCCGTCGTTACGGCCGTTTGAGCTATTGAAAACATTTTGTCTTTGTCTAACGATCTACTGCTGACCGCAGGCACTTCGGACCGATACGGAGAGCCTAGAGTGAAAGTCACACCGACGTACATTACTTGAGAGACCGGAGGATTGGGAGGCCCCGGAGCAATAAACGCGACGGTCGAGGCAGTCGCGTTGTTTGCTACTACAGCTTCCCTCACTTCTACGCTCTTTTCTGATTTTTCGGATATGTTTTGTAGGGGCCTAACGGAACAAATCCCCTGGAAGAGACTTCCACATGATATCAACCTGGAAGTGGTATAATCAATAACCAAAGCCTTGTTAACATTATCTGTAAGTTTCTTATTAATTGCATTGTTGCATTCTAGTACTGAGCAATCATCAGAGTCTAACTTTGGACCCGTTACCTCCGTTATCACTGAATCTAAGTCGGGAGAAAGCTGGTAAAGACGGTTGACAGCTCCTATGTAAACGCGGCCCGTATTTTTATCTATGACAAGGTGATTGAAGGCTTGAACTTTTGGATCTGAAAAGGTTTTTACTATTTCCTTCGGAGCGGCTGCCGTCTTTGCTATAGCCATCACCGTGGCTAGGAATACGAAGAAAGGATAGGACCGCTTCATGGCGGCACCAAGCTAATGTCCACTTTCACGTCATGGCCCTGAAATAAAAACATCTCTATTAGTTCAAAATTGTCATTTAAAAATGATAATGACAGTTTATCGTTACCATAAAACATTACACATAACCAAACATAAGGAATCTTCTGATATTTCTTAATATTTTAAGCAAATTAAAAAAGAATAACATAAGAAGTTAAACAATATTTATTTTAAAGCAATTTAATCAGTAATACATAAAAATTTACAAAGTTTGGTTTGTGTTTGGCTGTAATTAATGTCAATAGAGTTAATATGAAAAGAAAATTCATGGATGCCTAAATTCTCCAGCACAATACTGTCTAATTCCACGGTTTCTAAGGTTTTTTAAATGTGAGTTTTTCTACCAGCTATCCAATGGTTGTACGTACAAGTCTGTAGCTAAAAAATATAGAAGTTATTACAATTGTTTATAAGTAAAAAACATACCCCTTTTTCAAACGTTTATTTTGTAAATAGTTTCGACGAAAACGCAATATGCATTTAACTTATGAGGTAGTTTCAGTCTTAAAGAACCCTATGAAATTTATAAATGTGTCTAGCATCATTAATAGAGCAAGTTCAATAGTTTCAATAATTAGCCTCAGGAATAAATAAATTAAATAACTTTTAAACTATTTGACCGATCGTGGGGAAATTTCGCACAAATTTAAAACACGGTAATTTGTCGATGTTCAAAATGTATTAATAACATTTTATTTTGTTAGTAAAAAAATTAATAAAAGCTTTAAATTGGTGCAAAAAAACTGCTTTTTTGCAAATATCTCCGTAAATTACTTATCAATTTTAATTTAAAAAACGGGAAAATTAAGATATTCTTGGTATAAAAAAAATAATCAATATTGTTTATGTAAAATATAAGGGAAAAATCAAATGGTGACCATAAATTATTGTTTAAAAAAATCGCAAGGTAAAAATACGAGTATTTTTTCATCTATTCATCATCTAGTAACCCCTACCTATGTCTTAAAAGCTTCAGATATCTGCGAAAAATTTTTCGACTTTTTTTTAAGCAGACTGGGCTACTTACTACAAGAACAAGAACAAGAATTATAAGAGGAATATAAATATGAAAAAATATATAGGATGCCCCATTTAAAAAATTGTATGTTTACTATATCACTTAGTTATTAATCACCCTGTAGAATTTCACATATTTTCCAAGTATGGAGAATATGATTGCCCACATTTTTTCTAGTGAGCAGTTTTTTTGCTAAATATATACTTATTGTAATATTATGGATTTATATATTGTAATAAACCAAAACTATTTTAATATAGTTTACGAATATAAAAATGACTATATATATTATATTAAGTATTTTACGCCAATTTGGCTGCATTCGACATGTGGTTTCTCTTAAATAAACACTTAAAAACATATGGTTGGCATAAGGATGTTATAACAGTATTAACTACTTTATAGGTTAGGTAGAAATGCTAATATCGGGTATCTATTAATTATACGAATATTTCTATTTTTATCTGAATCAGTTGTGGTTTTGACGCGGTTTTATGTACAGGGTTACATTGACCTTATAGTGAGTAATTTATTGTACTGTTGTCACTGTATTGATATAGGAATCGGAAAGAAAGAGATAAAAAAATATGATTTTATGAAAACCAAAATCTAGATAACATCGAAATAGATGCAAAGAAAGTAACGTACTAAAGAGAAAGTAACGTACGAAAACTATTTTAATATATTTTAGTATCTGAGCAACACGAACATACAGAAATTAAAATGGTAAAACGGGTAACAATAATAATAGTCAAGGTTTATAACGACAAAGAATCTATGATGTCAGTAATATGCTACGTTTGAAAGTTTACCGGAAATTGTATGTGTAACATTTTTTTTTTCACTTCAGAAGCACTGTTTTTGATAATTTGGGTAGTTTTAAAAAAGTTATTCTTTGGGTTTTTTTGGTAAAATGCATACTTTAGTCGTAAAATGCAAATAAACAGAATTTGCAAATAAACAGGTAATTTTCTAATAGATCGAACGTTGAAAATAATAACAAAAAACGATGAGAAAGATTGAGTCATGTTGTATCAAAATATGCAATTGTATTTTGTTTTATTATAGCAAAATTTACGAAAAAATCCTATAAACAAAGTGATATACCATTCTTCTTCTTCTACGGCACTACAGCCCAAAATGAGCCTTGGCCTCCTTTATTTTTTGCCTCCACCCTTGTCTGTCTGTGGCTGCTCTTCTCCATACACGGACTCCTAAAAGTGCTTGTGCGTCGCTGCTTACTGTGTCTTCCCAGCGCTTTCTTGGCTTTCCAACTGGTCTCTTTCCCTGCATTCTGGCGTTCAGTGCTCGTTTTGGTAGCCTATCCTCTCCCATTCGTATCACATGTCCGGTCCATTGCAATCTTTGTATTCTAATGAAGTCTGACAGGGGTGTTTCCTTATACAGTTGATAGAGCTCGTTGTGATATCGAATTCTGAAGATTCCGTTTTCCCTCACAGGTCCTAGTATTCTCCTCAGTACTTTTCTTTCGAATGTGTCGAGTTTGTTTTTGGATGTTTCTTTCAGGACCCATGCTTCGCTGCCATAACATGCTATTGGCCGAATTAAAGTTTTATAGATTCTCATCTTTGTATTTCGGTGGACACTTTTAGACCGAAATATATGGGAGAGGGCAAAATAAGCTTTGTTTGCCTGCGTTATCCTTTTTCGTATTTCTCCATCCTCTGCTCCATCGGCATATATTTCTACTCCCAGGTATGTAAACTTTCCAACCTTTTCAATGTCATCTTCATGTATAATGTTTTGTGGGATTATATTTCCTCTCGTCTGTACCATTATTTTTGTTTTTTCTGTGTTAATTTCCAGACCTAGCCTTTTCGTTTGTGTTTTTAACTCTGCGTATGCTTCCTGTGCTCCTGTTGATGTTCTACTCATAATATTAATATCATCGGCGTAGGCAGCCAGTTGAACCGTTTTATTGGTCAGTAGGTTTTCTCGTTCAGTTTGCATTTGCCCATTATATATACCATATATCCATTGCTCTACGAAAATTATAGAATACTTGAGAGATGGAGGCAATTCAAGGAAGAGTAAGAGACAGAAGTCAGTATTTCTGGATGTTCAGGACCAGAAATAACTCTCAGTGAAGTAACATATGCAATAAAAAGACTAAAACCAACAAAGCACCTGGATCTGATAACATACAAGCTGAAATATTGAAACTATTTGAAAACAACCAACCCAAACTCTTAACGAGTCTACTGAACAAAATCTATACAACTGCAGAATTTCCTACAGATTAGCTCATTTCCACCTTCATCCCCTCCCCAAAAAGGCAAATACCACCAGATACTCTGATTGCAGAATTATAAGCTTAATGAGCCATGAACTCAAAATTGTTTTTTCTGTTATTCACTCTCGCATATATAGAAAACTTGAAGAAAACATTAGCAGTGTTCAGTTTGGCTTTAGAAGCAGACTGGGAACGCGAGAGGCCGTATTTTCCATACAAGTATTGATACAAAGAGCTCGACACGTAATTGCGAAGTCTACGCATGCTTTATAGACTTTGAAAAAGCATTTGACAAGGTACAACATCAAAAATTATTTCAGATACTGAAGAATCTAGTATTGATGACAAAGATTTACGCCTGATTAAAAATTTATACTTACAGCACAGGGTAACTGTACGAGTAGACAACGAAACCTCACAAGAATTCACGATAAAACAGGGAGTACGTCAGGGCTGCATTTTGTCACCGACGTTGTTCAATACTTACTCGAAAATGCTGTTCAGGGAAGCTATTGATGGTTTAAGAGAAGGTATAAAAATCAATAGTGAAATCATAAACAATTTAAGATATGCGGACGATACGGTTTTGATTGCTGATAATGCGGAGAATCTGCAAACATTAACGAGACCATGTAGTGGAAACCTGTGATAGATACGGCATGAAATTAAACTGTAAGAAAACCAAAATTCTTGTAGTAAGTAAAAACGACGTAATACAGCACCAATTCACAGATAAAAATGAACCCTTGGAAATAGTCGACAACATTACATATCTTGGAACCACTCACTGCAAATAAGATGTATAGAAAAGGCGAGAGCTGTCTTTAAATGGCTCAGGAAGATTTTATGTAATATGCACCTGAACATTGATATAAGAACACGAGTCTTGAGATGCTATGTATTTTCTATCCTTTTATATGGAGTCAAAGCCTGGACCTTGACGAAATGTGGTGATTCCGCCGCAGCATACTCAGAATTTTGTATATCCATCATGTTCGAAACAACACCGTGATCCAACGTATGAATAAAGATCTGGAAATTATGCGTATCGTGAAAATAAGAAAGATGACATACTTAGGGCATGTGATGCGAAATGAGAAGTATGAACTAATCCAACTAATTTTACAAGGCAAGATAGAAGGCATAAGATCTCAAGGGCGCAAAAGGACATCGTGGTTGAAGAACATTAGACAGTGGGCAGGAATGACTACCATACATCTATTTACAGCAGCTGTCAACAAAATTGTATGGACCAACGTTATTGCCAACATCCACAGAGGATAGGCACCAAAAGAAAGAAGAAGAAGATATACCATTGTGTTTCGGGACATACACCTACCAGGGATGGAAAACCTTTTAATTTCGCGTGCCATTATTTTGCATTTTTGGTTATGTTTGCTGAAATAATATTGATTTTTCGGAAACACTTGTATTTTGCAATATTACAAAATAAACTATTGAAATACAAAAGTAAATGTAACTAAATTAAACTTTTATGTTAGCTATGAAGTAGAAGATAGGGTGGTACTTTATGGGAATATGTGACATGTAGAACTGTTTTTGTTTTTGCACGATTTCGTCATAAATTCGGCTATATTAGTGAAGCTGAAATTTTTAGTAATAAAAAAAGGTGGGCATCCGACAGATGACGGATTACGAATATACTCTTTTCTTAGTTTTATTATTCAAAATGTGTGTTTGCACAAATAACTTGTAACAAACATAGCCA